AAGCCCACTTTGATGTGGAGGATCAGAAGGGAATTCACAGCTGCCCTCAATGCAGGAAAAACTTCATACCGAGGCCTGTCCTTGTAAGAAACACCATGTTCGCAGAATTATTAGAAGACCTGAAGAAGACTGGACTCCGAGATGCTCCTGCTGATCACTGCTATGCTGGACCTGAAGATGTGGCCTGTGATGTCTGCTCTGGGAGAAAACTGAGAGCCATCAAGTCCTGTTTGAGCTGTGTGGCCTCTTACTGTGAGGAACACCTTCAGCCTCATTATGAGTCACCTCCACTAAAGAAACACAAGCTGGTGGAGCCCTCCAAGAAGCTCCAGGAGAACATCTGCTCTGTCCACGATGAGGTGAAGAAGCTGTTCTGCCGCACTGATCAGAAGTCCATCTGTTCTCTCTGCTCTGTGGAGGAGCATAAAGGCCACCACACAGTGTCAGTGGCAGCAGAAAGGACTGAGAGGCAGAGAGAGCTGGAGGGGAGGCGGCAACAAATCCAGCAGAGAATCCAGGACAAACAGAAAGATGTGAAGCTGCTCCAGCAGGAGGTGGAGGCCATCGATCAGTCTGCTGACAAAACAGTGGAGGACAGTGGGAAGATGTTCACTGAGCTGATCCGTCTCATCCAGAAAAGTCGCTCTGATGTGGAGCAGCAGGTCAGATCCCAGCAGCAAACTGCAGTGAGGGGAGTCAAAGAGCTTCAGCAGGAGCTGCAGCAGGAGATCACTGAGCTGCAGAGGAAAGACGCTGAGCTGCAGCAGCTCTCACACACAGAGGACCACATCCAGTTTCTGACCAGCTGCCCCTTACTGCCAGCACCCAGGCAGTCCACACACTCATCCAGCATCAGGGTGCGTCCTCTGAGATACTTTGAGGATGTGACAGCAGCTGTGTCAGAGCTCACAGACAAACTGCAGCACATCCTGACACAGGACTGGACTAAAGTCTCACTGGCAGCCGCTCAGCCGGATGTTTTACTGCCACCAGAACCAGAGAGCAGAGCCGACTTCTTAAGATATTCACGTGACCTCACACTGGATCCAAACACAGCAAGCAGATACCTGTTACTGTCAGAGGGGAACAGGAAGGTAACAGATATGGATGAACCTCAGTCTTATCCTGATCATCCAGAGAGATTCACAGTTTGGTCTCAGGTCCTGAGCAGAGAGAGTCTGACTGGACGTTGTTACTGGGAGGTGGAGTGGAGAGGGGGGGGGGAAGGAGT